TGAATTTGAGAATTGAAAAACACTACAAAGGATCAATAAATCAAAGTATTGGTTCTTTGGAAAGGTAAACAAGACTGATGACCATCGGGTCAAAATTAACAAAATTAAAGATGTAAAAGGCAAAGTAACTGCAGACACCACTCATATCCAGAGGATGATTAGAAATTATTTTGAGAATTTATACTCCAATAAATTGGAGAATCTACAAGAAATGTATAAATTCCTAAACATATGATCTACCAAAATTTTGTCAAGAAGATATTAAAAATATAAAGAGATCAATAACAAACATTGAGATTGATGTAATAATAAAACCCTAGCAACTAAAAAAAGCCCAAAACCCAGTGAATTTACCACTGAATTTTACCAGAATTTTAAAGAACTAACATCAACACTCCTCTAATTTTTCCATCTAATATAAAAGAAAGAAACGCTTCTATATGCATTCTATAAAGCTAGAATTGACAACAGCAAAAAAAGAAAACTACAGAACAACATCCTTGGTGAATATAGATGCAAAAGTCCTCAGTAAGGTTTGCAAACAAGTTTTAAAGATCACTGAAAAGGTCATACACGATGAGCAAATTGGTTTGATCAACCAAATCAACTGTAAGTGGAAAAGAGGATGGTTCACCATAAGTAAATCTGTATACCACATAGAGTCAAGGATAAAAATCATGTGATTGTCTCTATAGAATCAGAAAAAGCCTTCAAAAAAATCCGACATAGCTTCATTACAAAACCCCTGGTGAAAACATATATAAAAGAATACTTCCTCAAAATAATAAAAGCCACATATAAGAAATCCACAGCTAACATACTGAATGGGGAAAAACTAAAAACATTTCCTCTAAAACCAGGAACAAGAAAAGAGTAACCATTCTCATCACTCCTATTCAACATAGTACTAAAAGCTTTAGCCAGAGCAATCAGGCAAGAGAAAGAAGGAAAAGGACTATGACTAGAAAAGGAAGAAATCGAATTATTCCTATTTGCAGAGGCTATGACTCTTTACATGGAAGACCCAAAAATCTCCGCAAGGATACTCTTAATTCTGATAATCAAATTCAATAAAGTGACAGGATAAAAGCCAACACATGCACACACACAAAACCAACACAAAAACGTACTTCATTCCTTTACACCAATAATGAACCCACTGAGAAGGAAATCTGGAAAATAATTCCATTCACCATAGCTTCAAAATAGATTGAACATGTAGAAATCAACCTAACCAAGTAGGTCAAAGAGCTCTACAATGAAAATTACACAACTCTGATGAAAGAATTTGGAGATGACTGTAGAAAATGGATAGGCATCCCTTGTTCTTGGGTCAGAAGAACGAACATTGTAAAATTTTCAATATTGACAAAAAGCCATCTATGGGTGTAATGTGATCCCTATTAAAATACAACAGTATTATTCATAGAAATAGAAAAAATCCTAATATTCATACTGAATCCAGAAAGATCAAGAATGGCAAAAACAATCTTGAGCAAAAAGAGCAAAGCTAGAGGTATCAGAATAAGAGATTTCAAGTTTTAATACCAAGCTATAGTAGCAAATACAACATGGTACTGAAACAAACAAAAAAGCCAGATGTATAGAACAACGGAATAGAACAAAATGCACACAAACATCCATGCACTTACAGCCATCTGATTGTTGACAATGAGCCAAAAGCATACATTAGAGAAAAGGTGGCCCCTTTAGCAAAGGGTGCTGGGGAAATTGGATATTCACATGCAGAAGTTTGAAACTCTATCCATATCTCTCACCCTGTACTAAAATCAAATCAAAATGGATCAAAGACTTAGTTATAAAAACAAAACCTTTGAAACTGCTGGAAGAAAACGGGAAACACTTCAAGCTACAGGCACAGGAAAAGTCTCCCTGAACAGAATTTCAGTAGCACAGCAAAAAATACTAACAACTAACAAGGGGAACTGTATCAAATTAGAAAGGTTGTGTACAGAAAAAGAAACAACAAAGGGAAGAGACAACCTACAGAATGGGAAAATATATGCCAGCTACTGTTCTGGTAGAAATCTAATATCTAGAAAAATATATAGAACTAAAAAAAAATTAACCCCTCTATTTACAAAGACTTTGTTTCCATTTTTTAATTTTCTCACTTTAATTTCATTCCCTTCTTTCCTTTCCCCTATCCTTCCCACTTCCCCTTCCCCTTTGGACCTTTTCTTCCTATTTCACGTTATCTATTATACATTTTGATCCTTATTTACACTTTGTTTCTCAATTTAAAAAAATTAACCCCAGAAACAAATGACCCCATTGAAATTGGCAAATGAACTGAATAGACATTTCTCAAAAGAAGTACAAATAACCAGTAAATACATGAAAAAAGGTTAATCATTTTTAACCATTAGGAAAATGCAAAAAAAAAAAAACTGCCTATGTTCCACCTTTTTAAAAAATTCATTAAGTTTGTTGGTACATTTTAGGTATACGTTATGATCACATTAATCATTGTGATTTCTGTACCTGTACATGATATACCTTGGTTCTTGTTTTCTCTCATTCCCCTTCCTTTCCTCCTACCCCTCCATCGCCTCCCTATTTACAAAAGCTGTTTCTGTTTTTTCCTTCTTTTCTCATTTTTTGCTTTCTTTGCTTTCCCTCACCGCACCCCCCCTTCCTAGTTCCTCTTTCCCTTTGAGCCCTTTCTTCCTATCTCGCATTACCTGTTAAACATTTTGGTCCTCACAGAGTTTCTCACACCAGAGAAAAACAATTCTATATTTACACATGTGTTCTATTTATTTCACCTAGTCAGAATGGCTGCCATCAGGAACACACACACACCCACCCACACACACACACACAACGAATGCTTATAAGGATGTGGGGAACCTTTCTATATTGTTGGTTGAAATGTAAACTACTACAACCACTATGGAAATATGTATGGAGATTCCTAAAAAAACTTAAAACTAAAAATACCGTTTGACCATCATACTTCTCTTTGGTCTATTTCCCCCAAAATTAAAAACATCATATTATAGTGATACATGTATGCCCACGTTTATAGCAACACAATTCACAATAACTAACCTCTGGATAGAGCCTGGATGCCTATCATCGGATGAGTGAATAAAGAAAATATGTTATATATGCACAGTGGACTATTATTCAGCCATGAAGAATTAATCATGCCATTTGCAGGAAAGTGGAGCTTGCGACCATTCATACTAAGTGAAGTAAATCATAAAAAGTTAAATATTACATGTTTTCTCTTATATTAAAAAATATAAATAATGAATAAAATAAAGGAAAAATTATAGAAAATTAGTAGGTAGACTCTTGAAGATGGGGAAGGGGTTTGGGGGAGGTGAAAAGAAAGGGAGAGGAGAGTTTATTAAAAGTGATTAAGATATGTCATATATATGTACCAGTTCCCCAAAATGAGCATCACTATCCTGCATTACAGACATGCTCTAATTGGTAAGGGGAAAAA